GAAAGAGTGATCAAAGTCATAAGGGATAAGATTATGTTGTCAACCAAAAATACCCCATTTTGATGAATTCCAGTTTGTACTTGACTTTTTAAAATGCCATTCAGGATGCACAAAACCGTAGGAGAACCTTTCTTTCAAAAGAAAAAAAAATTAGACTGCTTTTTGAGACCTCTAACCACGTATTTTTTAACACTTTAAATATGAAAGAATGCCCATTTTTAAAATACTGCTCAAAAATTAGCTGATTTGCTTTTCATCAGCATTAACAGCTGCTCAAAGGAGCAAGAGATGACCTGAACTCCTGTCCTCCCCTGACTTGTATGCCAACTCCAGTCCAATGGCTGTATAAAGCAGCAGCCCTAGGATCAAGGTGGCAGACCCTGCAAGCATGATCACTGGGCTAGTGCCATGATGACAAACCTGCCAGCTAGAGCAGTCTCACAGCTAATCTTCCTGTGCAGAGGAATGTGGTTCTGCCTATATAACATCCATGTAAAAATGCTTGCAGCAAAACTCCAACCTAACATACATTAGGAGCTTATCTACTCATGGCATGCTCAGGAAAGTCAAAGCAAATCAGCTGAAGGCCAAAGTTAAAGCCAGGAAATGAGAGTATTATTAGATGATAGCTACTTCTAAGAAGGAATACTGAGATGATACTTTAAAGCAATATACCCTTATTTCCAATTCGCAGTCCCAGTAGGGAACTTAGGGAATAGACGGGCACATAGAATACGCTGATTCCCATGTACTTGTTACAAAACTTCCTGCAGCAGTAGCTCCAACTTTTGGGACATTGAATTTCATTTGCTTCCCACCACATCAAAACCCTCCACACTCCAACAGGGTTAACCAGACACTTCAATGAGATGTTCTGCCTCTTTCCCCCCACTGGCTCTTGCTGCCAATTAAGTTTTGCCAGTATACGAGAAGTCACACCATGGATCTGTATTCTTGACTGACTTCAAATGCTTGACCTCATGCCAGACTTATGGCTATTATGGCCACAAGACTATCATGGCTGTATTTCAATATATTCATCCTTTTCACTACATACAGAAGCATACTGCCCAATTGAGCACAGAGTTACAGGGTTAAACACCATCGATTCTGCACCTGAAGCCTTACCTCCTTAAAACTCGCCCTGCAGTCACACCCTATCACATTGAAACAAGCACAAAATCAAACCCAAAACCCTGGAAGACTGGCTTGGTAACACAACCTAACCGGGCTTGCTCAAGAGCTGTGTGTAAATTTTTGGCACACATAACACTGGAGAACCTACGTCAAGATAGTTCAAAAAGCATAGGTAAGTATTGCTGGAGGCTGGCAATTTGACTACAGGACTACCTAGGTGACCTGGTTTTGGGTAATTGCAACACCCAGACCTCCCCTGGGAAAATGGCCAAGTCCTATTGATTGCAGGGAGGTAAGAATCACTTTCTCCTTCTTTCCAGGTTTTACTTTGCAGATTATCCTCATTATCCCACAACAGGCACTTCACAAGACAAATCTGTTTAAGAAAGGTGCTCAGATACAAGATGATTATATACCACCAGCAGTTAGAGAAGGTATTACTTTATTTCCAGTGGTTATCTACAGCTCTTACAGCTCTCCACAAATGTATGCTGCCCAGTGTATCTGTGCTAAAACAAGTAATACATATTTCCCTTCAAGAGCCTATAGGAAAAAAAACCCACTTATTTTACAGCATCCATCATTAGAAGGTTTCTGGAGCCCACCCAGTAGTAGTAATAAAAAAAAAAAAAAAAAATCAAAACAGGCTAATTCCTCACTTATTTTCCTCCCAAGGCGTTCAGAAACAATCTCCTGCTGGTCTGCGCATTTGAGTTTATTTACTTATCCCTCTTTAGTGTTCCCTTTCTTTCCCTATCCTCCTTACTTATTTGTATTTCCTCACCTCCTTTATATTGTTGTCCTTCTTTTCACCTCTCTAATTCATTATGGTCTGCAGGGAAACTAAGTCAAATTGTATGTTCCAGCCTGAGCACAAGAAGACCGGTCGCTCTCATCTCCTCTCAAGATGAGTTTGAAAACTTAGATCTTCATACCAAAACTGCACTGTCTGTGAAAAGAAGCATAAATCAGAACAGTAGTAAGAATTGGGAAATACCAAATAATAGAGTTACAGACAACAGGGTGCCTCTGGGCTCTGACACATGCTCTCCCACCACACACAGATACAAGAGGACAACATACTTGGCATTGGCAAAATCCAGGCTCTGCAATAGTGTTTGGCCAAATAAAAAAACCAAACCTCCCATCGGAGATCGGAAAACAGTGGCAGGTCACTTTATAGGCAAACACCTAAAAGCAGGAATGTACCTGGACAGGGAAAAGTCACACAGCTCCTGGGCAGCCCACTAAGAGAAATGCATCCTGAAATCCTGCTCAGAGTTTCAAGTAAACACATCAGTGGTAAGGACTATTTGTGCAGACAATTAACAAACGACACAGAAGTCAAATATGGGCTTTCTGTAAATCCAGTTCTATTACTAACCCTATTTCAGAAGTCAGTTGATTTACTTTCTCTTTTCAAAGGATGGGTGTGAACAGAAAGACAGAAAAGAAAGCAGTAAAGGGACAGTAAACACCAGTCTTTCAGAAAGTACTAGTCATATAGGTATCATCCAAATAAATGTAATTATATGCAAATTCCATTCTAAAACAGAACACAATAAAGTTACCAGAGACTGGGGGGTTCTATTTTGAGGCAATGTGCATTCATTCCCAACACCAAACCTGAAAGAAGGAAGTTTGGGAACCTCTTCTGGAAACCCTTGAGAATGCTCTCTGTTCTAGCACCTCTGTTGCTACTGTGGTAGGTCTATGTTTCTGTTTTCCTAAAATCAGGATTATAAAACTACAATCTTACTGCAATTTACCACCACTGAGTCCAGTAGGTCTCACTTCAGTACAACATCAGCCACTGCCTTTTCAGTCTGGAACAGCAACATTATAAATCAGTGTGAAGATGGAGGCACGGACCCAGAGGTAGAGTGCAAGCTGGATCGTTTATTGCAAAGATTACATGATATTTATATGCTTCAAAGCAATTAGCCAAGCACATCTGTGTTTGCCTTGCCGTTACATCAGGTGAAAGGTCCATCTGATTTTCTTATCAACATCCTCTTCCCAGTTCCAATGTCCTTGCTCCTTGCCAGTTCCAACACCTTCCAAGTACCAGTCAGGGATGGCTCGCTCCTGACTGCCTACTGTAGTTCCTAATTCCCATGGTCACTCTTAATTGCCTGCCATAGCTTCTCCTTCCCATGGTCTCTGACAGTTTCGATACATTCCACCCCCACAAATCAGGGACCTGACATCTTGCGCAAGGCAAAGCGCCATTTAGTTTTAAAACAAAAACCAGAATTAAAAAAATCTTCATAAAAATACAAATGTGCACATTTATCAAATATTATATACCAATTACATGGGACCTTGGCCATGAAGACAACTTTATGCAGCTCACTACTGTCCTGTGTCCCTTAAGAGCCCCCTGAGCTCATTTCCCAAACGCTTCTTTAAACTCTTTCACCTCCTGATGCTCAGATTCTTCACCTACAACTACAGCAAATTAAGTCTAGAGAAATTCTTGCAGTGCAGAAAGATCAGTGCCATTTAACCTTTTACTGGTTTGCATTATTTAACCAATAATCTGAGCCAAGACTTAATCCTTATAAAGTCCTTCCAAGCCTTGTAGAGTCTGTTCCTCATAGCAAAATCATCCTACACATACCAGGAGTTAAACCTCCAAGTTTTTCTTCTCTTGAGATTTTGTATCTTTAAAATGAGATTATCTAAGCTTTGTTCAAAGCATTCTGAATTCAGTTTCAAGGCACAATCCATTAGAAGAAAAAATTTCACACCGCAAATTAAAAAAAAAGGCTGGGTTCTGCACAGCTTTCTACACGATTCCATTTTGGTCAAACTAACTTGAAATTCATACATCAGTTTGTGCAAAACGGGACTGTAAGTATTCAATAAGACATTGAAACTGAGCATGAATTTAAGATTATGCATCAGTTTCTGTTCCTCGCTGAACTGGTCTCCTAGATGTGATTCTTTTATGGAGATAAATATTTCAGAGGAAGAAAAAAAAAAGAAGACTTGCTAGAACTCTTCCATCCCCAAATACAACATGAAGACAAGAACACGGAAATAATCGTGGCCTGATATTTTGGTCACAGGTCTATTTTACTTTGTTCATCTGCATAAAATGCAGGTACCATCTGAATTCTGCTGATTTGATTGTTCTCCCTCCTCCTAGTAAACTGATGCTGCCTTTTTGTTAGGATTTCACAGGATTAAATTGTCAAATAGAAAGCAACATGAACTCAGCAGGAGGGAGGAAGACAATTAAATCTTTCTCCATATCTTGAGAAGAGAGCAGCCAATGGAGACAAAGTCCCAGGCTTGACTACTACAATAGTGTTTATTCAGACAAAACAAGGAGTGGCAAATTTTAAGTGCTGTGACTTTAAAAACAGATGTGTCTTGTGTCTGTGTGACCATATCACAGGATTTGATCAAGGCAGGAAGGGGTGGTGGTGATGAAGTCTAGCTAATCACACTTGGCTGAGCTACAGGATCTTCTCTCTGCAGGTGCAGTGTGTTAGAACTGGCTCTTCCCTGCAGTCCTCTCAGAGTCTGGCACATGTCAAAAAACTTTTCAGAATTTTAAGAACAGAAACCAAACAGATCCGGGACTGCAGCCATAGGACAAGGGGTGATGGGTTCAGACTGAAACAGGGCAAGTTCAGGTTAGATCTAAGGCAGAAGCTCTTCCCTGTGAGGGTGCTGAGGCGCTGGCACAGGGTGCCCAGAGAAGCTGTGGCTGCCCCATCCCTGGCAGTATTCCAAGGGCCAGGTTGGACAGAGCCTTGGGCAACATGGTTTAGTGGAAGATGTCCCTGTTCATGGCAGAGGGGTTGGAACTAGATCTTAACCTCCCTTCCAACCCAAAACAGCCTGTGATTCTATGCTACAGCATACAGAAAAATCATCACTAAAGTATATCTGTGCTAACCGTCAGTGATGCTATTCCTTTGTGATAGGATTTTAAAGCTTCAGCAATGCAAGACAATGCCGAGCTGTAGTTGTCCTCCTGCAGACCTGTCAAGACACTGTTCTGCATGGGAGAACTCCTTCAAGCTGTTCAGCCAGAAGTAGAAGTGTTCTGATGCCACTTGAGTGAGCAGGCTTTGATACAGTTCTCTGGCCATGTCACGGTTGCCCTGCAACAACGAGAATGTTTTTAAGAGGGGACATTCATGAAGGCTGTGCATTTCTATGACACAAATATACATAACAGAACAGTAACATCTCCAGAACTACTCTTACTTTAACGTTAGAAACAGTGACATTTCTTCCAATCATTTGATCATGACAATACTAACAATAAATAAAAGCACAAATGCTTATTTTATGGAAACAGCAGCCTGTGTATCTACTTATCTATATGTATATATATGTATACTCAATAAGTGTAGTACTTACTTACACAAGGTAATTCAACAATATGAGAAACAGATACTAAAATTTACTTTTATGACAGCATCTCATAATAGGGTTTCTACATCATTCTAACCCCACCTGTGAAAAGGGAAATAGTATCTTTTCTTTCCTTTTATCACATTGAAAAGAAGAGAAGCACACATCAGGATGGCCTATATCACCGTCTGAAGAACAGCTAGACAATGCAGATTAGGCATGTGCTCAAGAAAGTATCAGACTGTTACTTCCTTTCCAAATACTTCAAAAAACAAGTGAAAAACCATCCCAGTGGGATGACTGCCCTAAATGCCATATATCTTAATCAGCATTCCAGGGAATTAAGATGGAGGTTTCCAAATCCCCCATTCATTTCCTCCTCCCAAGTCCTACCACGTTCCTTATTTTCTTTTTCCAGTTCAAAGAAGTCACTAGCACCCTTCCAACTGCACTAAACCATTTTCATCCAGGTATTTCACTTACCATTCTGGAAGCCTGCCTAGCTATCCTGTAGGCGGTCCACCCATTGGAGGCATTCTCCAGCTGCTGTTTGATAACAGTTTTGATTTCTGAAGATAAAGCTTTCTGGCTGGAAACAAATATCACTGTGGCGAGAGAAACCTAATAAAGAATGGTAAGGAAGAAGGTTATATAGCAGGAGCTAAATAAAAAGGAAAGAAAAAGCCAGTTCTCTTTCCTAAGCTACCAGAAATGATCTGCTTGATTTTAGACTCAAAACTACATAGAAGATTACATAACCATTTTAACTGAGGAACTTCTCAGTCATGTATCTTTTAAGTATTTATTTAAGTAGCTTCATTCTTGGAGATGAAAGTCACTTTCATGTAAAGAATCTTTACTGTGGCTTTTAACTGAGATGTTTCAAATGCAATGAATGAAGTAACAAGAAGCTTGTAATTTCCTTCTTAAAATTCAAATTCATTTCCAAACAGACACAATAAAAGCATTTTCTTATCTCTTAGAGTGTATTAAGTCATGTGCATGAGAGTTACCAGACATGAAGTGAGCTAACTGCACTGAGTTAAAGCACAACTGAAAAGGGTGGCTATTGACTGGCACATCAACTCAGACATAACAAATTACTTAGCCGACTTTCTAATAAAATCAATCCACGGTAGTTTGCACAGATGTTCGTGCAGGACCTGCAGCACAAGTGTGATGGGGAATGGCTGAGGGACCTGGGGGGTTCAGTCTGGAGGAGAAGGCTGAGGGGGGACCTTATCACTCCCTACAACTGCCCGACAGGAGGATGGAGCCAGGAGGGGCTGGGCTCTGTTCCCAAGGAACAGGGATGGGACAAGAGGAAATGGCCTCAAGCTGCACCAAGGGAGGTTTAGATGGAGATAAGGAACAATTCCTTCCCCAGAGGGTGCCCAGGCACTGGAACAGGCTGTGCAGGGCAGGGCTGGAGTCACTGTCCCTGCAAGCGTTCGCACACCATGTAGACCAGGCCTCAGTGCCATAGGTTAGTGGTGGCCTTGACAGTGCTGGGGAACGGTTGGACTTGATGAGCTTAAATGGCTTTTCCAACCTGGTTGATTCTATGACTCTATGAATATAAGGCCTGTTTAGCAGAAGGAAGTCTTACCAAGAGTTCCTGTTTTTTATCTGTGGCAGATTGTCCAATTAATTTATAGAGGTCCATCAGGTCTCCTAGCATCCCATCTGCTAGGACAGGCAGCTGCATGGCAATAGCTGCTAAGCAATGGCACATGAGAATCCTGGCAGCATCCTGGGCGCTGTGTAGCTGGGTCAGCAGGGATTCAACTACTGACTGGCTCAGGTGAGGACGGCACTTGACCAGCTTCACCATGCAAGTTAACATGATCTGCAACTCGCACAACCAACAGGTACAATAAACATAATGTCTACTTAAAACTAAAAAAGCCAGACACACTTATCTGCAAGTATGGTTGCAGAAATACAGAAGACAAATTCAAGAAATTCTGATCTTTCTCACACCACCAGCCTTTACAGGAAAATAACCAGATAAAATTACCAGGAGCAGCTTATGAAGTGAGAAAATTAAAATAACAGTTTAGAGAAGTGTTGTAGTCATGTACCTTGCATCCCCATCTCCAAAGAGCAAGCTCTCTCCAATATTCTTTGTCCTCCAGAGACACCTCCATGCCATGCTCAACTTCATGTTTTATTATAGCTGTTCCTCTGAGAGGAGTATTAGTGTAAAACTTACAGCTGTGCTAGGGGATGACAATAGTAATATCACCTTTAAGGTTGCCTGAGCTCCTGGACTGTCATCTTGACTACAAAGAACAAGAAGAGCTTCTAAGCCAAAAACTGCAACTTGCTCCAAAGGCAGAAGATCTAAGAAAAGAAAACCAGAGTAAGTTAGTTCTCAGTCACTGGACTGCCATCTTGACTACAAAGAACAAGAGCTTCTAAGCCAAAAACTGCAACTTGCTCCAAAGGCAGAAGATCTAAGAAAAGAAAACCAGAGTAAGTTAGTTCTCAGTCACATTTTCTGACCACAGGTGCTATAACGTTTGGACTGGTGCTGCATTCACGACCAGTATCTTCCCAATACCTCTGCCTCACCTTATTTTGATTAGAAACAATTCTGCTATTCCGTGTCTCAGGTAACTTATCCTGCAGTCACACCAACTCTGGCATTTGCAGAGTGTAAGCCTCTGGACCAAGGCTTCTAAATGCCCTGTTACTCTTTTGCAACAGGCTTTGTGCAAAGAGTTTTCAAAGGCTGACAAACAATTCTAAATCAAAGATGGAATTTTTCTAACCATTCATAAAATCATACAGAGTATTCTCTGCTAGATTATAGGCCCCATTCTCCCAAACCAGCATGAAGGATCAGACAGATCTACAGACAGGTTCTCAGACATGACCAGTTAACACATGTTAAGTGCATAAGCCTCACTGTAAACAGACACATTTCACTGTCCTTGCTTTCATTTACCTTTTTCCTGACAAGAGGCTGATACATTAGTCAGAATTCTCACACCATGAGCTGCAATGCCATGGTTATTATGGTAACAGCACTCCTGTGCCAGTTTTACTAAATCAAATAACCTCGCAGTTGTAGCTGCTGCTCCTAAACAAAGACGAGGCAAACAGGACATAAATCAGCACGGTCCATAATTACACCACAGATCTCTTCAAGTACATTTCTACAGAAAGTCTATATTGATTTAGGATTATTTCTTTTCTTATGTTTAAAGGACAGGATGAAAGCATCTCTTTCTGCACGCAGAGAGCCTCTCCCTCTATTCCTGAAGACTATACAAGTTAGAGATAAGAAAGAACATTTGGGTCTAAAGGCTGATGTTTCAGGGACTCGGAGAAGTATTGCCTTAAGAATTATTATATCTCATTAAAAAAGCTGGTGAACATATTAATTATTAAGACACGCCAGAATGACTGAAGAGGATGTACTATTTTTCTCTGTTTCTGCAGCCCATGTAGTTGGGCTTGTAATGACTCATTAGGGCAGTCTGGCTTTTGAGAAGAAAAAGAAAACCATGTGATCATCATTTTAAGAACAAGACACCCTGAATCACTTTTAAATACCTGCTCTATTTCTTCAAAATACAGTCACAAGGCAGAAAGGTTCACCTGGTACTGAAGCAGGTCATTCCCACAAATGTGGCAAAGCTTCACTGAGCCAGGATAATATGTCAGCCCACACTCAACACCATTAAGTCTTCATGCTTCTCAAAAACTATGCAAATCCATGGTTTCAAAGCAGAACGCAGGACAGCCACTTGGGAGGCATTACATTTCTTCATTTGATGAAGAAAAGTTGAAGGATCATAGAATCAACCAGGTTGGAAAAGCCCTTTAAGATAACCAAGTCCAACTGTTACCCCAGGATCGCCAAGACCCCCACTAAACCATATCACTAAGGGCATATAAGACCCAAAGGTAAGAAAATCTTTCATAAAGCACATTAACCACAAAATCAAGAAGAAAATCTTAGACCATACCATGACTATGCATGGGTATGCAAATATCCCATTTTAAGTTTCCATGTGATGAACACATTCAGACTCTCACCTAGTATCCTGAAGTTCAAAACCAGTTTAAGAACACAATACAAAATGTTTAGATGAAACTGATTATCAGTAGACAGACAGGTCAAAGCATCCAAAATGCCAAAGATAATCATATGATCTTGTTTTCTTACCTGGAGCAGTGCTGAAGTACTGTTTAATGGCAGTGGTCCCCAATAACACGGAAAGAACAGAGAGCATGCCCAGCTTCAAGCTGTCATAAGGAGTGTGAAGAGCAGATTCACAGAGTGCCTAAAGAGTTGCAGGAGAAAAGACCTAGAGGGAAGGAAGTCCCATGAGTTACCTTTGTTCAAAGTTTAGTTGCACTTGGCTGTGAAGTTTTGAGAGTCAAAATAGACTATACTGAAATCAGAATTAGAAGTCATGTCCTGAAGCATCTGTTTTAGTAGTAGACTTAGAACATGGCTTAGAGAAAAAGGACAGAGGGTTTCATATGCTAGGAAACACCAACTCTAAGTCATTTCTTACTTAAAAATCAGTTGCAAAAATGCTATCAGTTCTCACTGATCAAATATTGGTGTAGATGTTAAGACAGTTCTCCAGTCTTAGAGACATATATCAGTATTTTGCCTTGTAACAGTTTGTTTACCTCCAAAATTCTTCTTCTGGAAAGAATTCTGCAACTAATTGCAAATTTCCGTAACAAACTATAGCTTAAAAGAATGTATCAACCTGAATATTTTCTCTGCTCCACGTATGTGGTGTCTTATTGGCCAACAACTTTAAATCTTGGATTGCAAGCCTCTTCACAGCCTTCCTGGGGTCATTCTTTAAGTACTGCAACAAAAGCTGGATCTGCAACAAAGTAAATTCACTGTTTAAGAGAGATGCTACTAGAAGGAAGGTCTTTTTAAAGGTACTTGCGAAGGATTTTTGAGCATACTCAGCCAAAACTAACTTGCCATATCTGTCCAATTGCTCACCACATGGAAGAGCCACTGCTCAGGCTGTAATGCCACGGCAAGCTAAAATAGTCTGACAGCTGATTTCTCCCATGCTGCTCTGCTTGTTCGAACATCCTTCTCTATCTTCTCTCACCCCGCATACCTGAGAAGCCTTGAAAGCTGTTTTGACACTCTCAGAACTATCATAAAGTATCTCCAAGAAGCTCAGTAAAAAACCTTATACTGTTGTGATAATGCTCCTAGCAACTACTCTGGGATTTGAAGTTAATTTGGGTGGCTGCAGTTAACAGACAGCAACACAGACATCTTCTATGTAGTTGTCAAAAACAAACCCTGAAACCCAAACACACCCAACTCCTACCCACCCCCTTTGAAGCCTTGACCTCAAATTAAATGACACTTAACTGCATGCCCCTTGTGGTGTTCTTTTCCTGGAACTTCACAGAGATGGAAAGATGGAATAGCCAGCACATGAAAAAGCATGAATGTGCTGGCCATGGTTTTGCTTACCATCCCCACCCTAGCTGTATCACTTTTAAGCATCACTGGCTGTTCTGTTACAGAAATACAGCCTAAATCACCACTCTCACCTCATAAAGGTAATAAATCACCACTTTTTTACCCATAAAAAAACCAGAAAAGCCTGTAGGGTGTTCTAATGTTATTTCAGTTAGCTTAAATTAGGTACTGTTGAAACACCCTCTGAAATACAGAAATCAGCCACATCAAAAAAGAAGTTTCAGGCAGATCAATGTTACTGATTTAACAGTAACAGACACCAGCCTTTCACAGCTGTACAGGATGGAAAAAAAGCAGTGACTTTCATGACTACAAGGAACAGTTAGTCTCAAATGTCACTGTGTTCAGACCTGCTACATAAATCATGTCAGCAAAGCATATTATCAGAACACAGAAGTATTGTATTTTTCTATCACTGTTTTCCCACAACCTTGGTTTGTAGTCCTAAATTACAGGAACAGATTCAACCTCCTCAGGGTTCTTCAAGAAATACATTTTTAAAATGCGCTCTTTGCTACTGAAATATTCCTTTGCTTGCATGCAAGGAAGGCAAAACACACACCCAGAACCTGAGAGAATGCACAGTAGTGAGAAGGGAAGCCTGGGTTCTACAGGTAAAGTTGACATTCAGAGTAGGTCAGGGTTGATGTCAAGGCTCTATCTGACTTCAACCTCAATTGTTTTAAAGAAAGACAGGTCATGACCTGTAAAGAACGGTTCCTGTGTTTGATGGGGTTATCTGGAAATAGGACCAGAGAGGGCAAAAAATACGAAAGCAGCAGCAGTTTTCAGAGTGTTCTTTCTCTATAGCACATAGGAGCAACCACCCCAGCATATCCATCAACTTATTTTCAGCACCAGCTAGAATCTGAGGTCTTTTAAATGTACTTTAAGTTGAAAGACGTAATTAGGAAGAATTACCTGCTTAGGAATGTCAACCAAAGAAGCAGCAGCAAGCAGAGTAAAGGTGTGCAGAGTAACAGTGACCATCTTGGTAGAGGAATATGATGTTACCGGCTGCTGGAGCAGCTGCCGGGAGCTGGAGGCCAGGCTAGCATCATGATGCATGTGCTGTAGAATAGGGATCAACTTCAAGTCCACAGGTGTGGCCAAACCTGCAACAGGGAAGAGAAACACAGGCAGTGTTAGTCCTATGTACTGGCTTTTGGCACTACTGAGGCACAACTAAGTCTGCATTGCTACCACTGCTGATCGCCCAATAACTGATCTACCAGCATAAGGACAGCCATACCAAGCACTTCCACAGTTCTTGGAGAAGATTATTCCTTGCTTCATTGTACATAACACACAGCTGGTGTCAACATAAAGAGGACATGGAGCTGTTAGAACAAGTCCAGAGGAGGCCACAAGGATGCTCAGGGGCTGCAGCACCTCCTATATGGAGACAGGCTGAGAACATTGGGGCTGTTCAGTCTGGAAAAGAGAAGCTGGGTGGAGACCTCAGAGCAGCTTCCAGTGTCTGAAGGGGGCTAACAGGATTTAGCAGGGACTGCAGCAACAGGTCAAGGGGTGATGGGGTTTAAACTTGAACAGGTGAAGTTCAGGTTAGATCTAAAGAAGAAGTTCTTTACTGTGCAGGTGCTGAGGTGCTGGCACAGGGTGCCCAGAGAAGCTGTGGCTGCCCCATCCCTGGCAGTGCTCAAGGCCAGGTTGGACACAGGGGCTTGGAGCATCCTGCTCTAGGGTGAGGTTTCCCTGATCATAGCAGGGGGCTGGAACTGGGTGATCTTAAGGTCCTTTCTAATTCAAACCATTCAATGATTCTATGATTAACTCACCTGAAGCAACCTGTGCTAGGCTATGCAAGTTTATTCATCATGCTATAGACGAGCTTTCACTCTTTACCAAACAGGTGTTTTGAGAACTTAGATTTTAAGAGGATGTAAGAGCCAGGCATTAGATTAATGGTTAGCTAATTTAATTTAAAACCAGGAACCATTGGAGGATAAGGGCAACAGCGTCTAATATTTACATAAATAAAGAATTCTCAGAGAAATTAGGTTTTCCCTTTTATCACTCAATATACACCCGTACCTTGTATCATCTCACTGATTTTATTACATATGCCAGCAGCAAAATCCCTGTAGAGAAAAGACGAAGTATTAGGTGAGATAAATACAACAGGAAAATCATTACAAATTAAACTCAATTGAACTACCAAACACTGTGCTTTAACAATAAAAGCTTTCACAAAAGAGTGCTTGCCAAGATCTAGGTTCTTTTAGAAACCCTGCACACGGGCATGATCAAATGCAAGCTTCTAAGAACATGTCAAAGTGACAAGTAGCACTATGTTTTGTTCCAGAATATGATTTATGTAAAATAATCATTGATTAAAGCTGCTATTCCACTTTGCATTCCCATAGTTATGTGCTTTCCATTACTATTTTAGAAAAAAAGAAGTATCTGTTAAACTTGTGCTCAGATTTCTTTACAATATTGTTATTCCACACAATTAAATGTTTTGCTAAAAATTACACGGTTGGCACTACCAAAGGTTTGTGAATGCCAGTGCTAATGGAGTTTCCATTCTCTGTGATATGAAAAACTGAAAACAGAAATGACATCTTACTTTGTGCAGAAAAATTGGCAGCAGCAAATATTGCAGCTTCGAATTCCACATTATCATGGGAATCCAAACTTTGACGAATACTGTGATGTGTATCCTTCCTTTCTGGAATGATAGATGCCATGCTGCCCAACATCCTACAGAGAGATCACAGAAAAATCAGGAAGAACAGTGATCGTGGAGAAATGCAAGATGAAACCAAATAGAAACTGAGAAGGACAACTGGTTAAAAGACTATTTTGATACAAATACATTAGTTTCTGTAATAGATGTGGATGAGCACAAACAGAATCACAGAATCAACCAGGTTGGAAAAGCCCTTTAAGCTCACCCAGTCCAACCGTTCCCCAGCCCTGCCAAGGCCACCACTGACCCATGGCACTGAGGCCTCGTCTCCACGCTGTGTGAACACTTGCAGGGATGGTGACTGCAGCCCTGCCCTGGGCAGCCTGTTCCAATGCCTGAGCACTCTCTGGGGAAGGAATTGTTCCTCAGCTCCACCTACACCTGCCCTGGGGCAGCTCCATCCTCCTGTCAGGCATTTGCAGAGAGCAATAACGCTAAAAGCAGGCATATAATTAAAAGTTAACAAGTTTTGTCATGTGGGTTATAGCAGTGGTTTAATAAAACATGAATTACAATTTGATACCTTTCACCTTGAAATGGGCGCAGTGAGAAACATCCCACTATGGCACTCAGAACAAGTTTTTTTAAGGGGCTTTTACATTCAAGCTCTGGTATCAACACAAGAGATTTAATGCTGAAGTGCACCCTAATAATGAGATTATCTAAGCTTTGTTCAAAGCATTCTGAATTCAGTTTCAAGGCACAATCCATTAGAAGAAAAAATTTCACACTGCAAAGTAAAAAATAAAGGCTGGGTTCTGCACAGCTTTCTACACGATTCCATTTTGGTCAAACTAACTTGAAATTCATACATCAGTTTGTGCAAAAGGGGACTGTAAGTATTCAATAAGACATTGAAACTGAGCATGAATTTAAGATTATGCATCAGTTTCTGTTCCTCGCTGAACTGGTCTCCTATATGTGATTCTTCTTATTGAGATAAATATTTCAGAGGAAAAAAAAAAAGAAGACTTGCTAGAACTCTTCCATCCCCAAATATAACATGAAGACAAGAACATGGAAATAATCGTGGCCTGATTATTTTGGTCACAGGTCTATTTTACTTTGTTCATCTGCATAAAATGCTATGAATTAATCTGTTTATTTAGATGGAAAATGCAACTCCTAATTAATTAATGTATTTGAACAGCATTTCAACTACTGCTTTTATATAAGGAGGCTTATGTTTCCCCCCTCTCCCTCCCAAAAGACTACGCATTCCTTCCTTGCTCATCTGCAAGGAATTTACAGGCATTAAATTAGCCACAGCAGCCTTACCTTTTATTCCCTGAATGCTATCAAAACATATTGAGAATTATAATAGAAGCATATTGAGAATTACAGAGGAAAAGTTAATAAAAACTTAAGCACTAGAAAGTTCAAACAAAAGATTTTTCCCCAGTTTATACCAAGACCTGGCTGCATGCAAAACTACACAAAAACCAGAGTCTAAAGACAAGTTCTCTCAGTGTCAGCTTTCAATTGAGTTTAGCTCATAAATGTCATCTGAAAGCAAATTTAAGATTGCTGCCTCCAATATTCATACTAAAATAGCAAGTTTTATGTTAAAGGCCACTGTCTGATACACAGGAAGAACCTTCTCCCCGTTTCTCAACAAAGCTTCGGCACCCAAGTACTGCGATTAACAAGGCAAGGATCTGATCACACTCCTTATGGAAAGGCTGATGCACATCCATTTATTTATTTCATTTTACAGTAACCAAAGCTGAAAGCTATCCATACACCTCAGAAACCATCATTGTTAACTTCTCCTCTCAAACATTATTTTTCTACCACAGCTTCCTTAAGGCAGATTTGATTAAGCATCACTGGGGAGTGTTCATGATTTCAGTTTCTGTGGCTAGTACTAGTAGTTTATCTAGAGTTTCGTGCTCTGGCATAAATTCAGTACAGGCTCTGGGACAGTAACTCTTCCAACATGAAGCTGGCATGAAAGAGAAGGATTAAGGTTTATAGTAGTGCTCTTGCCATAATGGTGTTGAGAGGTAAGATTGCTAAAGAGTGATAACAGCTTTTATTTAATCATCCACTATAACTGGGTGAAAAATTAAAAAAGGTACTCACATAAATGTTGAAGACGTTAAGAGCCAAAGTAGAACATATTGCCAGGAGAGCACAGATAGAGCATGATACATCCTAGAAAGCTCAAGCATAGAAGACCTGACCATTACACTGCCCTCACCTGGCACCAGTGCAGAAGATTATTTAACAGGTACCACACATTAGGTTCTGCTCTTTTCACTTAGCATTTGCACTTCTGTCTCTCCATCTTTGCCAAATTCTTATTCCAAGCCTACAACCTGCTTTCTCCAGATGAAAACACTCCAAACTAAAGCAAATATATAACCCAGCAACACATTTCCACAGTAACAACAAATACTCCTCTCCTGCAGCAGCCATCAAAATCCATGCATCCTACACATAGACTTTCTAGAACATGCTACACTTCATTGCATCGCCCTAAGGAAGAAACTAGGCAGCCACTATGCTGACAGCTAACTCATAGACATGTCTGTGAAAAACAATCACCCAACAGTTAGCATGACAACTCACAAAAAACTCTAACTCAGCTCTCTGTCTTCAAGGAAGACCTAGAAACGTCAAGTGATTAAGATTAATAACTCTAGTAGATATTACATACCCAAAATGGGAAGTAATCAAGAATTTAGAGAGATCCTTCGGTAACCCATTAAAATTTCCCCTCTTTTCACCCTAAGGGAACCTCTCCATGCAGGGAGGAAAACTGCCACCCCCACAGAGATAAGCAAGTCTCTTAAAGTGAGATCATGAACTTTTCAAGTGATGTGTGCAACAGTTAAGTATAGAAATTAAACCCTGTGTTTGTTTATCTTCTACTAGGCTGGGAGTGATTTAAAGGTTTTGTCCTGATAAGGAAAAATGCAGCTCAGAAGCTGAAGGTCAAGGAAACTGCTCAGCTTCCTTCCCTGGATTAAAAAAAGGGACAAATACTGAATTGTGTAAAAGCCTCTGACAAGTACTAAATTCAAGAAAACTGCTATCTGCCTCTGACCTTCTCAGCAGTGAAAAACAGAAGCTCAGTAAATTGTTAATTTCTAATCACATGCACAGTTAGAACCAAATGTAAAAGTAGCTAGCATTTGGGCATTGTTTCCTCTCTCTCCTCGTAACTTCACAGGCTAATCCTCCAGCACTTGTTTCTAGAAGCTGGGAATCCCATGCTGTGTGCAGGTTATGCTCACAGGCACAAAGACTCAGAAAAATATTTCAGGAGCCCCAGTCCTGTGAGAACTCAGTTTCATGACTAACCCTGGGAACCTGGGCCAAAATCAATTCGATAGAAAGTCCAAGTTACCCAGAACCAATGCAGAAGTACAAAATAGCCTAATGTAACAAGGACTAACTTTAAACAGCTGTACATATACAAATAATCACAAGACATGCTTTTTAACTACATGATAGACATACAACAAAGGGTCTCAATACAGAAAATCTAGCATCACTGCTATATAGTCTTAAGCACCTCTTTAGCAACATAATCATTACCACCACACAGGTACACTTCCTTTCCATAAGGCATTCCCTCCCCAGCCAGCATAGAAACAGGGTTAGACACAGCTGTAGCCTCCCAGACAGAAGGATTCACTCACTGCCCTGAGGAAAGGTAATGGAAACCTCACCAGGCTGAAGAAGATGGAGCAACACCTGCATCACAGGTTCAACCAGCTCTGGCAGGCCTGTAGCTCACCTGAGGAGACAAACACCATGCAAAGACATCTCTTCCAAGACAAACCGTGGAAATACGTGCAGTATTGTGTACCTGTGCACACACAGTAATACTTGCTCAGTTACTGAGACCCATAGAAAGCTTGATTAGTATCTGTATGTTTGCTTTCAGTACCCTTGCAGCTCCTGCTAAGCCTTACTCTGAAGGGCTTTATCACCTGGTAGCTGTACCAACCCTGAGGAACACCAGAGCACACAGACACACAAAATAGCTTTCAGATGCATTTGAGACACATCAATAGAAGTTTGTCTATGCAAATATACATAGAAGCATTTACATATGTTCGGCATACTGCTTTAAAAAGTCTTATCAGTAAAAGCAATAAGGCTCAACACTTTTACCTTGCTTTAGCTGCATTAGAAATGACTGCTTGAGACTGGCTGAAGCTCCTCTTAATGGATTGTGAATGGAGAACTCTTTCTCCACCTCCTGTTTTAGAAGCCTCTTATCCTCTTTCGATGGACATCTCTCCATGTCTCTCCAATTAGCTGGTTAACTTGCAGTCAAACTGGGAGCTGTGGCAGCCTCAGCAAGACTCCCCCCACAAGCTTGACCTGAAACACTGTAATTAAATGCCACTTCCAAGCGAAGTGACATATACAGCAGAGCACAGGGCACACCAGTCCCACATGGTCAAGCCAGGCAGTCAGGCTATAGCTTGAAGTCCAGAATAAGAAACTTCACAGGCACAAACAGAGCTCAAGAGAAGCCTTCCCCCAACAAAGCCCAAACAGAGAGCAAAGGCACAGAGCTGGGTTTAAATAGGGCTCCTGGGTGTGGTTGGATGCACAGGTGAGGCTGCTTAGGGTCATTAAGGCTTACTGATGCCCTCAGGGCCTCAACGAGGGCACCTGAGAGCAAAGGAAAATTCTAGATCTATCCACTGGGCACATTACCACAGAGTGAGGGGTGATTGCAGTGCTGTGATGGGGTTTTATTCCCTCGGCTAGCTGCTTGGTCTTCCTCCTCACCTATCCCCAGAAGGATTCTATCAGATCAATGTTCTGTGCATGAGAAGACACAGCCAAGCAAGCACTTTATTTCTTTGTGGTCCAGTAAATTCTCTTGGAGGCCTTCTGATTCTGTTCACTTCTGGGAGACTTTGGAAGAGTGGGTACATAAATACAACCCTCAGCAAGGC